AATCTTTTTAAACCTAACTATTTTGTACCCTATCCGTGAAATTCTCTAGCCGTAAAGGCCATCTCTCCCAGGTTTTCTGCAACCATGATGCGCGCGCATGCTGAATGTTTACAAACCTATAATTGGTCTATTAGTATTGCTTATAGATGTAGTTAGGAAAAAAACAAACCCTTAAAGGAACACTCCACTATTTTTGAAAATAGGCTCATTTTCCAACTCCCCTAGAGTTAAACAGTTGAGTTTTACCATTTTCTAATCCATTCAGCCGATCTCCGGGTCTGGCGGTAGCACTTTTAGCTGTAGCTTAGCATAGATCATTGAATCTGATTAGACCGTTAGCATTTCGCTCAAAAATGACCGAAGAGTTTCTATATTTTTCCCATTTAAAACTTGACTCTTCTGTAGTTACATCGTGTACTAAAACTGACGGAAAATGAAAAGTTGCGATTTTCTAGGCCGATATGGCTAGGAACTATACTCTCATTCCGGCGTAATAATCAAGGTACTTTGCTGCCGTACCATGGGTGCAGCAGGCGCAATGATATTACGCAGCGCCTGAAAATAGTCCCCAGCTCGCTCCCTGTGCAAGCAGGTGGTCACGTTGGTTATGTTGGCGGAAGTTAGCCTATTTTCAGGCGCAACTTTTCATTTTCCATCGGTCTTAGTACACGATGTAACTACAGAAGAGTCAAGTTTTAAATAGGAAAAATATAGAAACTCTTTGGTCATTTTTGAGCGAGATGCTAACGGTCTAATCAGATTCAATGATCTATGCTAAGCTACAGCTAAAAGTGCTACCGCCAGACCCGGAGATCGGCTGAATGGATTCGAAAATGGTAAAACCCAACTGTTTAACTCTAGGGGAGCCTATTTTCAAACCCAGAAATGAAAAATCTCTCATCACTTACTCACCCTCTTGTCATCGCAGATGTACTGTATATGACTTACTTACTTCTTCGAGCACAGAGATTGTTTAGAAGAATAATTTATATCTCTGAATCCATGTAATGCAAGTGCGTGGGAGCCTCAAAAATAATGCAAAATGAACGCAATGGGAATCCATACAACTCCAGTTGATGAAATTGAAGCAAAACTATAGGTATGTGTGATAAAAATGCTATTATTTGAAACTTTCTAAAACATTTCGTCCATCAGAACATTGTAAAGTATGAGGGGCCGTACAAGCCATAATTCATTCTAGCACTTTCACACACTTACATTCTCCTTTCACATACATATATTCTCCTTTCACACACTTACATTCTCCTTTCACATACATACATTACTGGATTAAAGTAGATTTTAAATTATATTCATGAAAACTAACATTTACATTTTTAATAAAATAAATGCAGCTTTGGTGAGCATTAAAATATCTTGCCAACCCCAAACTTTTGGTTAGTAGTATATAATATATAAAATTATGTAATTTACTTACTAGAATTTATACAGTATAATACATTTGGTTGTTTTTCTCATGCACCATCTTTTTGTCCACCACAAATAATATTTTGGAAAATTTTAAAATATAATTTAATTTTTTTTCTTCTAACTCTTACAGTGTATGCGTGTCTTAATATATAAATTTTTCTATGTGGAAGGGACAAGTTTGCAGTTGTTTGTCAGTTAATTAAATATGCATTAACAAAAACATTTTTTTTTTAACAAAACGTTTTTATCGTATAAATTTAACAAGTAATGCATCTTTACGTTTCCCCAACATTGCAGGCTACCTTATTAAACATCACACAAAGCATGCATAATTTTTATATTTTTTCCCATTTCTGCTCAGTTACACAAGCGCGGTTCCACAAAGAGCAATGTACCCACCGCTGGCCGTTTGGGGCAGTATGAGATCAGAGGGCTGCTCCTGTGTTTCCTGCATATTGTAAGAACTTTGTCAGATGGTAAGCACACTTTGTTATTATCATGAAACACCAGCAGAATTATAGTCACGATTGTAGCTTTACTTTCAGATGAGCTCATTTCTTCCTGTAGCCACAGGCTCTCTTCTCCAACATTACTATTGTTCATACTGGTTTTTCAAAACTACTAGCAACCACCAAGAATTTTCTTTGCTACTAGCCAGGCAACCAAACAACCCCAAAGCGATGCCTTAGACACCACATAGACACCAAAGACAAGAAGCACACTATCAACCACCCACAGCATTGGGACATACAAGCACTATTCACACTGTCAACTTTATTTATACAGCGCATACAGATGCTGCTCCATCTGAAAGCACGTGATGGAGATTTACTACTACAGAACCAGCTTTACTGATGAGATGCGCAATGATGAACTACCTTGAACTGAAAATTGAGTGTTTACTTTTGTCCTTTTGCATTATTGACACACTATTTTCCTATTTAATCCTGTAAAGCTGCTTTGACACAATCTGTATTGTTAAAAGCGCTATATAAATAAAGGTGACTTGACTTCACGAATGAATGAATTGACGAATGCAGAACCGCAGTGGAGAGAGCAAAACAATACACTGGTCCCGAATTAGAAGTATAGAACAAGGATTTGTAAAGAAAAGTGTTTGAGGATTTCAATATGAACCAAGAGGAGACTGGTTTTCCTTTGCTGTGAACAAAACTTGGTTCTTACGAGACTAGCGTATTCTCACCGGAGCTTAAGCTACGTCTTGCGTCATCCGCTGGATGCCACGCTCTTGTGCATACAGCAGTTAACGGAAGCAAGAGATGACGTTTTTATAGTTTTAAATATGCATGTTTTTCTTACAAAAACGCATCGAATCGCTTCAGAAGGCCTTTATTAACCCCCTGGAGCCTTGTGGTGCACTTTTTATGATGGATGGATACACTTTTATTGGACTTAAAAATCTTAAACCCCATTCACTGCCATTATTAAGCTTGAAAGAGCCAGGATATTTTATTAATATAATGCCGATTTCGACATCATAGGTGTATAGGTCGTATACACCTATCATGGCTTGAGGGTGAGTAAATCATGTCATAATTTTCATTTTTGGGTGAACTATCCATTTAAATGATTTCGGAAAAGTATTATTTTTGGCCATTTGTCAAAGAACGTGGGAAGCCTGTGAGATCGGTTGTTGTCTTGTATTCTTGAGAATGTCACTGTGAACAGGAAGAGTTGAGCTATATTGCACTAATGCTTCTGTTTGTATGTTACTCAATGTCCTCCTGTAGATACTCTGATGACCTACTGGTCTAAAGTCAATCCACAAGACATCATGAACTTCCTCAGTCTGCTCGAGTGAGTGACGTACTAAGTTTCCCATGAGGTGTTGTACTTGTCTGACCAGTGTTGATCTAATTATTCACGTGTCTTTGTGTACACAATCTTGTGTAACTACACAATGAGACGGTAAAACACTGAAAAGTCTCGTATGCTATGAAAGAAACGGCACACTTGCAGAATGTTTCAGGTCCTGAAGATTGGAGGAAAATATAGAAGTTTGTTGCCAGAAAGTAAATCAGGACCCTCTCTTTAATCTTTATTTGGCTTTCTATCACATAATATACTAATTTTCAGTCTTCTCTGTCTGTAGGATCTGCATAGTCCAGTTCCGCTATTTGGGCAAGCGCAACATCAGCCGGTATGCATGATAGAGACTCAACAACGACAACATGTTTCCCATTTGAGAATTAGCCACAGATCACTCATATTTACATGAACCACAACTGAGACATGCTGCCTGCTATCTGTGTGTCATCAAAGCCAGATCTTTACATTTCATCATCCCCTGTGCTTTCAAATAAGCAGTGGTATATCATGATTAACATTGTTGTGGACAATACGGCTTTGTTTGTGTGCATTGTTTAGAAGCCTGGAGCCCTGGGTGTCGAAACTCTTCTCATCTGAGAGGAAGTCTCAGACCATGCCGGTGCTGCGAGGTCGAGGAAGCCTAATGCAAGCAAAGCTGCAGCAGTTTAGCACTATGGACACCTCATTAACCCTGAACATGGGTAATTGGTATACTCCTGTTATTTAATTTCCTTTCATTCTGTGAAAAATTGCATTATGCTACATGATTTTCATGGCTTTTCTGATTCTATAATGATATATTGTCCTCATTTGTAAGTCGCTTCGGATAAAAGCGTCTGCTAAATGACTAAATGTAAATGTAAATATATTATGCTATACTACAAAACAAAACGAAAGGTAACATATTGTAATGCAATGAACAAAATGAAACTAAAAAACTTTACCTAATTTAATATATCATAACAAAATCTTATGTAATGTAACAATATACCTATTTTTTTAAATAGTAGTTTGTAATATTTTAATAACAAGTGTGTTATACTCACCAAAGCTGCATTTATTTGATCAAATAAAATAAAAAATATTATATTATTTAAAAAAAAAATTTTTTAAATGTATATTTTAAAATGTAATTTATTCCTGTGATGCAAAGCTGAATTTTCAGCATCATTGCTCCAGTCTTCAGTGTCACATGATCCTTCAGAAATCATTCTAATATGCTATTTTGGTGCTCAAGAAACACCAAATTAGAAAAATAAGTTGTATTAATATTATCAATGTTGAAAGCAGTTCTGGTGCTTAATATTTTGTCGAAATCATGCTTAATTTTTTCAGGATTCTTTGAGGAGAGAGCTAAAAAATGTATTTATTTGAAATGGAAATCTTTTGTAACATTATAAATGTTACTATTGATCAATTTAATGCATTCTTGCTGAACAAAAGTACAAATAAATTGATTGATTAAATTGAAAATTACTGGCCCCAAACCTTTCAGCGGTAGTGTATAACAAGTTATTTTAGGAAAGTGTATTTGAACATCAAAAAATGACACAACAGTTTTAAGTTTCCTTTACCATATAGTCCTTAATTTCTTAACCGTAGCTGTATTTAATTTGTATTCTTAAATCTAGACTTATGACTACGATATTAACATGAAATTTTTTTTAATGTTTTTACGTTGCATTGTAATATTACCATGCATTTGTGTAATCTTGTATTTCAGCTGGAGGTTCCACAGAAGCAGAGATCAACCATCAGTGTCTGCTTGAGGGGAATATGTCGACAGAGGCCTGCCTTACCGTGCTGGATGTCCTCTCACTCTTCACTCAGAGCTTCAAGGTAATCACCAACACTTAAAGAAGAGGGAGTAACCTGCAGTTATTGTTATCATAGTGTTCATAATGAAGCGACTGGTTGGACAGGTTGATCCTTCCACAAACTGATAATGTAATTAATGGATCTTGACAGAATCAGCTGCTGGACAGTGATGGTCACAATGCTCTGATGACGAAGGTCTTTGACACGTACCTCACTTTACTGAAAGTCGGACAATCAGAAACAGCAATCAAACACATCTTTGCCTCTCTGCGAGCCTTTATCATCAAGGTGAGATCAACATATTTCTTTTACGAAAGGAATTGTTCTCTCAGAAAATTATTATTTGTGGTTCCCAACCCAAATGCAAAAGGTGCAGCTTTATTTTTTTACATTTTTAGCATACAGGTTTGGAACAAAGTAGGGCTGTGCAAAAAATCGAATGCGATTTTCATGCGCATCTCGTCAGCTCCTGTGATTAGTAGTAAATCTCCAGCACGTGCTTTCAGATGGAGCGGCATTTACTACACAGCCGTAGTTCACTGACAAGCTACACAAAATCGCAGGCGATTCATTCGATTTTTTTGCACAGCCCTAGAACAAAGGATAATGTTAATGGAAATAGTTTTTATTTTGGGTAAACTATAGGTTTAAAGAATGACCACAACCATCAAATGCAACAACATGAGATGTTTTCAAGATGTTTCAGAATTTCCTACTTGAACATGAATGTGTTTGTTTCTCGATCTATATATTTTAGTTCCAGGTTCCCCTTTTTAAGGGCCGTGTAACTCTGTGTGGTTCGCTGTGCTATGAAGTCTTGAAGTGCTGTATGTCTAAACAAAGTGTCCTACGTGGGGAAGCATCTGCCCTTCTATACTTGCTCATGAGGAACAATTTTGAGTACACCAAGAGGAAAAGCTTCCTGCGCATGCACTTACAGGTATATAATAACAATTTTAGCCACCTAATTAATCTAAGAAGACTATTATTTCACCTTACTAAACTTGTCCTTTTGTTTTTTTGCCTCTTTATTTTCCAACTGTAAACATGCACAAGCTATGAGCCCCAACTGTATTTTACTTGAAAAACAGTTGGGTGCCTGCCAAATCTAATGACAAATCTAACCTTTCTGTTCTTTGCTAATGTTGGACATTACAACTCCTATCTTGCTATCAGCACACTGCTGTATATCTTGGCCCATCATTTTAATGTTTTCTTGTCAAAAGTCAACTGTTGCGCTGTACTTTGCAGTAAAAGATCATTTGGATTTTGGGAAGGTGTTTTGTGTAAAACGGAGGAGTACCGTAAACCTAATGCTTTGAAATATGGGTGGTTACTGCAAGGCTGCATGTTTGAAGCACAAAAGTGTAGATTAATGAGCTTGCACCACTAAGTCCATGAGTATGATGCTTTAAAGGGGTCATATGATGCTGTTTTAAAGATCCTTATTTTGTGTATTTGGTATAACAGAATATGTTGACATGCTTTAATGTTCAAAAAACACATTATTTTTCAAATACTGTACATTATTGTAGGTCCTCTATGCCCCGCCTCTCTCAAACACATCGTTTTCAACAAAGCCCCTCCTTCCGACAAGCACAGTCTGCTCTGATTGGCCAGCTTACCCCGTGCATTGTGATTGGCCGAACACCACAAGCACGCATCAGAAATGTAACACCCCTTTCCATAATCGCGAGCTTCAGCTTTCAAAGTAAATATCAAGACCGTTAATAATGTCGTTAGTTTTACCATCAGTTCAAGCCCGAAAGAGGAACAGAGTCACGTGACAGACACAGTGATGATGCTCGTATGTATTTGCAGTACACAAGCCGCGATTAATAAAGCTGACTCCACTGTGATGTGACCCTGTCTTTCTCTCACGAACACACACAACGCGATACTCTACATGGCGCAAAACTCCTTAAATCTTTAAATCCTTAAATTATTAAGAAAACATACTTACAGTAGCTGATTCAGAATAAGACTCCAAAGAGAAAGGAAAACTTGAAATCGCATCATATGACCCCTTTAACCAATGATTCTTAATTGCATTTACTTCCAGAAGGCCAAATAAAGTGCTTTTGCTTTCGCACTGAAACACACAGCGTCTCCCTGACATGGCTGCATCAACACTACTGCATTCCTGAAACCACGCCTTCTTTATTTGCGTGCACATTTGGGTGGCATTATGCTAATATTTCCACATCGTGACGTAGAGATGTGGGGGCATGTTTGAATGAGGCGTTTTAGCCCGGTCTGGATTAGCCTTCTCTTTTAGATAGAATAAATCCTTTTGTGGGAGACTTTGAGCTTTGTAACTCTGCAGATCTTATACATGCACAAATAGCTACATAACACACTTAAGAAAAGGAAAAATAGAAATCGCATCATATGACCCCTTTAATGGGCATTTACAATTCATAACACATTAGTGTTTTTGCTGCAAAACCTTTACCGACATTGTACGTGCAAATTATTATTATTTTATTATGTCAGTGTTCTTAAATGATCAAAAATAATAGATCAAAGAGATAATAGGCTAAGAGGGTAACAGTATACTAAACTAGTATGTTGAGCAGATAAATATTTAATTTCACACACTATCTTTGTTTATCATTATAAGTAACATACATTTTAAATCCAGTTATAGTCTTATTAACTTTTGGACGACATATATCAAAAGTCATATTGTAATTAGGCACTGAATGGAGCACAAATTATATAATTATGAACATGAAACCTGCAGTAAAACTAATATAAGTTATATCATTTGATGGTGTCTGTAAACCTTTTATGTTTGTCTTAAAGGTACGACTCTCAGATAATTCTCTTGATGTGTTAACATGCAGTGGAGATCTAATGAAGGATCGCATGATTGAGTCAAGTATGTCTGGAGTCAGCTAATAAGAATGTGAGGGCAGTAACTAGAAATGTCAAATGATCCGCAGCTCTACATTGCTTGTAAGGGTGTTTTCACACTTTATGAAAACTCATAAACCTTATTTATAAAAAAATAAACACCCAGCTCTCTTTAATTTACACTATTCCTGATTTTGAAGAGTTAGATCTCTTTTTGGTCCACTTTAGTTTAGCGTATCGTGAGTGTGTATGTGTGTGTGTATGTTCAAAAAAACAAGTAAATAATTTTTTTCAGGATTCTTTGATGAATGGAAAATTTCAAAACCACAGCATTTATTTGAAACATACAGTATATTTTGTAAAAATGTGCTGTTAATTTGTTGACCAATTTAATGCATCCCTGCTGAATAAAAAAAAGAAAACATAAACATGACCCCAAACATTTGAATGGTAGTTTACAGGATTTAACAGTAAGACTGTTTAAATTCATCATGACGTTCATGTTTGTGTGTACTGACTTGCGTGCGATCTGGTGTGTGACAAGCTTCGATCATAAGCATTACTGTTTATCTGATATTACATAGACAGTCTTGGTGTCTTTGAATGTGTTCTTATCAAATGCATAAAAGGTTTGCTCAAGGTGCGTATGCGTGTGATACAGTCTGCATGGTGTAATAAAACCTCATAGTGCCAGGGAGACCGGTCAAGCCACATTCACTTGTTTGAACTTTAGCTAAATACCACTCTCTCACATGTCTTAAGGCATCTACATCATTTCTACTCGATGCAAAGCAACAACTTTATTTTTGAATCTATAATATACATTTCAGTTGCACCCTCATAAATAAAAACAAATTGTTAGTATTTTTTGCATTCATACTAAATTCACCATGCTTTTAGACCTATCTTCTATACCACAAACTGTTTTTTGTTTTTTTGGTTGCACTTTCGCGCCGTGAAACCTAATGTGCTGAATGAGGGCGTTCCTTTAGCTATTATTATTATAGAGTTTAGGCCTCAAGGGCTTTTAGTAAATGAACTCACTTTTCACACAACAGTCCAACAGTAAATATAAGGGTACATTTATACAGCAATGACATACATCTTGTGAATGGATGACCAAAACGCACAAAAAGTTTTCCTTTTTTAGTTAAAAACGGTGTCATGTAAACACACCGTAAAGCATCACGAGAAAACCTTGAACATTTTAGACATCAGTGAAATAAAATAGCTGACTCCTTTGTCTTGCCAAGGCAAATTTCATAGCTGGCAGTTAATGTCTCTACACACAATTAAATTATATTTTCATACTGGCTGTATTATTTTGCATAATACATTTGCATAAATTTCAGCTTAATGGATGATAAAAAATATTATGTTCACATATTAGATTTACCTTGATTTATCTTTGTTTTCTTCACTCTTCTTTTCTCAAATCTCAAGCATGAATTTCACTGACAATTTTGTCCCCTTGGTAAACAAGTACACTAACTTGTGCCTGTTCTTGTGTGACCCAAGAATGTATATTTTGTCTGTTTCCTCTCTGACCATTAGATCATCATCGCTGTGAGCCAGCTTATCGCTGATGTGGCGCTTACCGGCAGCTCACGTTTCCAGGAGTCACTGTCCATCATCAACAACTTTGCCAACAGTGATAAAGCCATGAAGGTGCAGTAGAGAATGCAAGCTGGAATCTGCACTCATTTATTTATTTCAAAATACCTCATTAATTATTTTACATTAAGGGGCTGTTTATGGGTGGTAAATATCCCCAAAACTCTTTGAAATCAATTACAAAACAAAGCATATTTTTCATAATTTATTTATACATGTAGTTGTTTTTGTAAAGAAATATGTAGCTTTGGAGCTGCTGCTATGACACTGTAGAAAAGTTTCCAGTGTGAATACTCTCGCAAGTCTGCATTGACGATGTAGTTACGCTGATGTGAAGCTAGCATGAAGCTCAAGCTTGCAGTGTGAAACACGCATAAGAATCAAGCATTTCAGAGAGCTGTGTAATAAATGGCGGATGTCATGTTCTAAATACAGGAAATCATATTTTTTCAATGTAATTTCAAAAAACCACAACCCCACACTACTGTCCCACCACTTTTTGAAACAAACCCATTCACACACAAAGAACACATTGTTGAGCTCCAAAAACACCAAAATGCAGTGGAAGAAGACTGAGTGGTCTTGAGACCTTTTTTGAAAGTTCAGCATTGTTAAAGAATTAGTTCACTTCCAGAATAAACATTTACTGACAAGTTACTCACTCCCAAGTCATTCAAGCAGTCATTCAGTTTACAGCAGAGCCCAGGATCTGTCTATATACATAAGATACAAAAAAAATTATAATAATAATAGACTAAATAATAGACTTAATAACAATAAAGGTTGTGTGACAGAAAAGTAAAACTATGATCAAAACAATACTAGTGAGTACATCTCAGGATTTCAAGACATCTGATAAAGTATGTCTATGTTTTTTCAGTTGAAAAGAAATTAAGGTTTTTGAGGAAAACATTTTTCTCCATATAGTGGACTTCAATAGCAGCCAATGGGTCGAAGTTCCAAATTACAGTTTCAATGCAGCTTCAAAGGGCTCTTCACGATCCCAGCTGAGGAATATGGGTCTTACCTAGCAAAACGGTCGGTCATTTATATATTAAAATTTATATACTTTTTAACCATAAATGCTTATCTTGCACTAACTCGACCTCGCGCATTATGTAGTTACATTGCAAAGGTCACGTGTGACATAGGCGGAAGTACAAAAACGGTGTTTACAAAGCGAATGTGCAAAGAAAGTCAAACGCTCTTTACAAAAACAGGTAAAACAACAATGTGGGGCTATTTTGAAGTTGGAGGAGAAAATCAGATAGAGTTTTCCCTCCCCTACCTTTTTGAACCAAAGTACACCGATGAAGAACTAACCAGGTGTAACTTTTCCAATGTGATTACGAAATGCGTGAAGTCGTGCGTGCACATCACAGAGCTAGTGCAAGACGAGCATTTGAGGTTAAAAAGTATATACATTTTTGTTTTTTTTTCTTTTTAGAAAATGATCGATTGTTTCATTTGATAAGACCCTTATTGCTCAGCTGGGATCGTGTAGAGCCCTTTGAAGCCCATTTGGACCTTTAACCCATTGGCCCCCATTGAAGTCCACTATATGGAGAAAAATCCTGGAATGTTTTCCTCAGTAACCTTAAAGGGGTGGTTGACTGTTTTTTTCTAGTCTTGATTGTGTTTATGGGGTGCAGTCTAACATGTGTTAATGCTTCGTTTAAAAAAAAAAAACTCACATAATTTACCTTTATTCTACACCACTCTGTCCCTTCTAATATGAACGCTCTGGTGATTTCCTGGTTTGATGAAGCCCCTCCCTCAGAAATATGCAATACGAGGAACAGGATTAAGAACCGCTGCTTTTGAACATTGATTTTGAAACTTGAAGCCATTATAATTGTTAGAAGATAGAATCTCGATTCATATATGAATACATTTTTTCTGTGCACCCCTAGTTTTGACGGCATGGAAACAACTCTTCCTCTTCTCTAAAGCAGCACAACATGGCCCCTTTATGTAAATTTCAGGGTTTGTGACGTCACAAACCCGGGAAGTAACTCGTTGTAGTCCCTACCAGCCGTATTTGTAGGCATTAATCTGCCCGAATTTTAAAAGGCGATATCTCAGTTTGCATTGAACTTTCAGTCTATATCGTAACTTTGCAGATATTGTTTATGCTCAAACAGCAACATTACACACTAACTAACGTTAAAAAAGTGAAATCGCAATCAACCACCCCTTTAATTTATTTTCAACTGAAGAAGACATGAACATCTTGGATGACACGGGGGTGAGTAAATTATTAGGAAACTTTGGAAGTGAACTAATCATTTAAAAGATTATAATACAGTCTTCATGAATTTACATGCAAGTCATTCTTGTGAGATGTAGAAAACGCTGCAAGACATGGTGTCAAAATTTAAAAAAAAATAGCACAGAGGAATGTGACTGTGCCAAAATGCCTTGCACAGTATTTTTGCTTCTCTTGGCAAATATTTGTTAACATTTGGAATCTATATATCTCCCCAGACCACCACGTTTCCATCTGAAGTGAAGGGTCTGATGATGAGAATTCGTACGGTTTTGATGGCCACTGCTCAGATGCGTGAGCACGAAAAAGACCCAGAAATGCTGCTCGACCTACAGTACAGTCTCGCCCGCTCATACGCCAGCACTCCAGAGCTCCGGCGGACCTGGCTGGACAGCATGGCACGAGCACACAGCAAGAATGGAGACTTCTCTGAGGTGTGTTATTTTGAGCATGTGATGCAGTGTTGTTTTGTTGGTACAGGTGCATTGGAAAGGCTCCATGTCAACTTGTTTTGGCCTCAACCCATTCTGCATGGATGAAATTAGATGCTTGCTCAGTCATAATGCCTGTAGGCCATTTTTAAGCCCCACCTCACCCTGAAGCTGTAAGTATACACTGAATGTCATTCTGCACACGGGCTGCCGATCATATCATGTGCATTACGGTGGAAATTTCAGAGGATACACAATCTTAGTTTTTCAGCTGTTTATCATAATATGTAATACATTGTTTCATTCAGTTTTAAATTTTATTACCAATAAATTTGCATCGGTTAATATAAAAACCAAATGATAGGTTTTTTTTTAAAACCATCAGCTTCTATTCTTGATGTAAGCATTTTTCTGGTACAGTCTAATTGATCTATTGATACATTTTAAAAAATAAATTTCATTTTACTTTTATAGAAGGCATTGAAAAACTAACTTTAAGTCTATAGACAGAATATTACAAGGGCACAATATATGTTGTCAGACTTTAATACATTATTAGGCTGTATGCACTTCATCTTCTGATGCATTTGCAAAATTTTTTGTTTAAATTTTTTTTTAAACTGAAGTATTTTCACCTTTCCCTATTTTTGTTTTGAACCGCCTGTTTGGAGATTTCAGCTGCATCACATAAATCGGTTATATTTTATGGCCGTAATTAATGGTGAGCAACCCTCTGGAAACCACCTCCTGGTAGTAACGTTTAGGTTATCCTTTAAACACGCTTTGTAATTGCACCTGTCACGGCCTTTGCCTGACTGAACACGGGTCAAACATTAATCATTTAACAACAGTTCACAAGAGACGTTCAGTGCTGTTTAACTTTTTCTGTTTACATGATTTTTGAATTATTTAATAATTGGGCTGGTAACACTTTACTTGAAGGGGTGTGCATAAGACTGACATGACACCTTCATAATCATGGCATGACACATGTCATGAATATGAAGGAGGTTTTATGCATGTTTATGACAACTGTCATTAAGTGTCATTCGCTCAGTTGTGTCATTTTTAATGCAAATATGACATTATTTGACCTAACCCTACCCCTACCCTTACCACTAACCATAGCCCATAGCAAAGACATCTCAAACAATGTCATCTTTGCATTAAAAATTACATAACTGAGCGAATGACACTTAATGACAGTTGTCATAAACATGCATAAAAACCCTTCATATTCATGACATGTGTCATGTCATGATTATGTAGGTGTCATGTCAGTCTTATGCACACCCCTTCAAGTAAAGTGTAACCATTGGGCTTAATCTGTTCCGTACTCTTCTGATATGTTTAGGTTAGCAGCAGTGTTTGATTCATGATCATGTAAACATATCCCCCACAGAATAAAAACAGGAACTGAATTGGAGTAAAGGTCACTTCCTTGCCAGCATTCTCTAACATTTCTATTTTAGTCGCATACAGGCAGTGGTGGAAAGAGTACTGAAAAAATATACTCAAGTAATAGTACCATTACCTTCCAAAAAATGTAGTGTGAGTAGAGTAAAAGTACTTGTCCAAAAAACGACTTGAGGAAGAGTAAAATAGTAACCTATTTAAAAGTACTCATGAGTATTGAGTAGTGAGTACTTAAGTCCAGAATTTTGCGACCTTAGAGAGCGTGATGGATTGTAGCGTGGTAGTCCAATATAAGTTTGAAATGTGTTGATGGATTTGTTTCTTACCAACGTACAGCTTTTTGCTTCACAAGACATTAACTGATGGACTGGAGTCATGTGGATTAATGTGATGTTTTTATCAGCTCTCATTCTGACGGCACCCATTCACTGCAGAGGATCTATTGGTGAGCAAGTGATGTAAGGGTAAATTTCTCCAAATCTGTTCCTATGAAAAAACAAACTCATCCACATCTTGGATGGCATTTTCAGCCAGTTTTGTGTGAACCTTATTTTTTCTGCTCTTGTATTTTCACAGGCTGCTATGTGTAATGTTCATGTTGCTGCATTGGTGGCAGAGTATTTGCACAGGAAAAGTAAGTTTGCAAAGGTTTCTTTACTTTCAACAAAGGTTTCGTGCTCATTTATTTGGCTAAAATATTTCTTCCTTAGATGATGTGTCCTAATGATCATCAATAACTGTATTTTACACAAAAACAATAAATACCTGTGGCTCATGTAATTTCCCTCATTTTCCCCATGCAAATAATGGTCTTGTTCAGGACAAACACTTTACTATCCTAGTCCTAATTTGTGGTGCACAATGCAAATGGCAATGCAAAGTCTCAGACAATGTGTCTGAAGTATTGTGGATAGCATTTTAAACCGGTTTCGTTCTCTTCCATTTTTATTTTAAATAAAGCATTCATTAACACAAAATGTCCGTTTTACAAAAAACGTTTTTTTTTCTCCCCAATTAAATTGCAAACAGATTTTATTAACTGCTAGCAGTTTAGAGGTTTGCCACCCTAAACTTCTATGACGTGAAACTAAAAGAATGTCACAGGTCCCACAAATTTACATAACTAGAAACCAGAGATAAAAATGGCATTGTGTAAAGGACTGCTGTATATTTCTCAGAAGTCATGTGTTGGTAACAGTGATGCAGTTATTTTATAATCCTACTCATCAGGTTTTCATGAGTAATCTTTAATAATGCAATAGCTTATGAACCGTGGTCCCAAACTGTATTTATACACACACAAGAAAAAAGCATGGTAAGTTAAAAATTTGTTAATGTCAGACCTTCTTTGACGCCTTTATTTTAATGAAGCATGGCACAAGCACACTTTTCAAGCAAAACAATTGACAATTTTATTAGATTTAAATGATAAACTGCCTGTAGTTGTACTGTCTTGTACTTTTGATTCATACCGTATGTGTTGAATACAGTATTTTGCTAGTTTTAATATAGGGGCGTATATTCTGCTGTCTTATTGTATCAGAGCTGTTCCCAAGTGGACTGGCAGCTTTTAAGAAGATCACCCAGAACATCGATGAAGAAGGAGCTATGAAAGAAGACATGGGGATGCAAGATGTGTACTACACTGAGGTAAACCACGCCGACAGACCGAACACATAAAAGACCGTACCAGGAATATGTTTGACGAACAAGTCAAAAGATGCTTTTGTGAAAGTTCAGTTGTACTTGTGTGACAGGATGTCCTTGTAGAGCAGTTGGAGGTGTGTGTGGAAGGTCTATGGAAAGCCGAGAGGTTTGAGCTCATAACACACATTGCGAGACTCATCATTCCAGTTTACGAGAAGCGGCACGAGTTTGAGGTGAGAAACAATGCAATGCAGATTCAAGAAATGTGCTCATTTTCCTTTGGCAAGTGCTAGTTGCCCAATTCTTTTCTTACACAATGCTGTGACTATAAGACTTTGTGGCACCTCCTTACTCAATAACGAAACTCTTAGAAAACATAAGCACACTCTGATCAGGCGTAAAAGGAATAAAGTAGCTCAGTCGGGCGGTGAGGGCATTATCAGTCATTATGAACACAACCTTGATCTGTTTCACTTTCACTTCTCAGTTAATGTGGAAAAATTAGGAGTATGATTTCTGAATGAGGTATGAAAAAATCCCCTACATATCTAGGGACCAGAATATCATAGATACCTAAAAGTACTATTCATGTACTTTTATAGCATTTATTAACATTTGAAAATTATATTGAAAATATATTTTTGGTAATTGTATGTACTTTTGTAATTTTTCTTTTAATGTTTATATTTAGCTTTAATGTATTTTTTATTTCAATTGTAGTAATTTTAGTACTGCAACTTGAACAGATTTAAGTTAGCTGCCAATGCAACATTTGTCATTTTCATTTATTTTAGTTTTATTTCAGTTGTTGAAATTGTTATAACTTCTGCGTTTAATACTTTTTAGTTTTAGTTAATGATAACAGCACTGCATGCTAGTAAGCACAGCGCACAGCAACCTCATAGCAATGACTTGGCAAACACTTGTTTGCATAAAACCACACAATTTGTAAATGTAAGAATCCTTCTGTGAAGTGATTAAGAGACGCTGTCCTCTGCCTTCTATAGCCACTGTTTGGAAAGCCATCCGTAAACAAACTCTTCCACATGGAAAGTTTACCACAGTGCCAGCGCTATCGTGAGAATTTTGATCCTTCCAGAAGTCTGTCCTTTGTTTAAAACCGTTTCCACCAACAGACATGCATGCAAATCATACACTTGGTTGCACCATCTTAAGTTGTCTCACTCCATTAAATAACAACAGAAATGTGTGATAGTCATTGCACAGCTTTTTATGGAATTTCTTTAAATTAAATGTTGTTAAATGATTGATCATGTTCTGTAATTGGCGTTAGTAAATGTAAAAAAAAAAGTCATCCGTTAAAAAACTGGTCTATATATTATGCTAACAAAGGTGAACAAATAAAAAAAACGTGTTTCTTTTGTGCCTTTGTTTTGTGCAAATAAATTAGCAGCTTCCTAGTCATTATTTCAACTGGTTTTAATTATTGACATTTTTTGTATTTTATTATATTTCATTTGATTTTCCATATTGTCGTTCAAAAGATTGTGGTAGGTGACTTTTAAATGTTTTTTGAAAGACGCCTGCATTTATTTGATCAAAAATACAGTAAAAACAGTCATATTGTGATTTTTTCAAATGTTTTTTTATTTAATATAACTGTTTTCTATTGTAATATAAATTTTAAATGTTTTTTTTTTTTCCTGTGATGGCAAAGCTGAAATTTCAGCATCATTACTTCAGTCTTCAGTGTCACATGATCCTTCAGAAATCATTCTAATATGCTGATTTGCTGCTCAAGAAACATTCCTTATTATCAGTTTGAAAATAATATTTTTGTGTAAACTGAGATGCATTTTTCAGGATTCTTTGATGAATAGAAATGTCAAATGTTATTTATTTTGTATTTTTATTTATTTATTTATTTATTTTTGGATCTCAGGGCTTCTTTGAAGAAGAGGATGGAAAAGAATACATCTACAAAGAGCCAAAGCTCACAAGCCTGCCTGAAATTTCCCATCGGCTCATAGGTCTCTACGGAGAAAAGTTTGGAGCTGAGAATGTCAAAATCATCCAAGACTCCAACAAAGTAAGAAATCACAATATTTCTGTTTAACTCTCCAGCTTCCTGTGTTGTGCTAAAATTACCGTGAAGAGCAGCTCATCTGACTCCTCTTCCAGGAAAAACTTGTTTATGTAAAGCTCAAACAAATGTCTAGCTTGCAGTCTTTGCATGTTTTTGAGTATTTAAATTCAAAACTACTAAGCATTATCTTTATTTTTTCTTTTCCAAGTTTCATAGTGAACCATCTCACTTTCCTTAAATAACCGAAACTACACACAAACTTGCTCATCTTACCCACAGGTTAACCAGAAAGATCTGGATCCGAAGTTTGCGTATATTCAGGTCACATTTGTCAAGCCCTATTTTGATGAGAAAGAACTGGCTGAGAGGAAGACAGACTTCGAAAAGTCCCACAACATTCAGCGTTTTGTCTTCGAGACTCCATTCACACTAACGGGAAAGAAACAAGGAGGGGTTGAGGAACAGTGCAAGCGGCGAACGATACTTACCAGTAAGTATGCAGACCGCAGGAGATCTGGCATTGCTCCAAGTACATCATCTGAGATCTGAACCATTTTTGCAACTCGTACATCAACTCTGCATTGTGTACAATCCACTTCACCTTTTAGTGCTTCAAGGAATAGTTCACCCCAAAATGAAACTTTGCTGAAAATGTACTTCTCTTCAGGCTATCCAAGATGTAGATGAGTTTGTTTCTTCATCGGAACAGATTTGGAGAAATTTAATTTGCATTCCATCACTTGCTCACCAATGGATCCTCTGCAGTGAATGGGTGCCGTCAGAATGAGAGTCCAAACAGCTGATAAAAACATCGCAATAATCCACAAGTAACCCACACAACTCCAGCCCATCAATGAATGCACTGTGAACTGAAAAGCTGCATGTTTGTAGAAAACAAATCTATCATTAAGGTGTTTTTAACTTCAAACCAAAATAGGAGTCCATAATCCATAATAATACTAGTCCATTCTCCTCTCATATCCAAACCCTCCAACATTTCTGTCAGGACCACTATCGTCAAAGATGATTGACAATTAGCATACAGTTTAAATTGGCGGTATGGTTCCGTTCTGGGCAAGAACTCCCTGCGCATCTACGCAGCCTAGCATGGATGAGAGCAGGGAGAGCAGCGATAACCCCCCCAGGGTAAACAGAACAGATCCAACATAAATGTATTGCAGATATCGTTAAAGTTCAATAATGTTATGTACACATTTTAGAATTAGTCTGATTCAAAGGAGAATCAGAAGGCTGAATCCTGACTGACAGAGGAGGAGCTGGGGATGGAGGAGGGTAATTAGCTATTGAGCAATGCGAAAACTGCTGATAATACTGAGGGACCTTATATATGAATGCTTAGATAGGTGTCGTATTCCCATAGGTTGATGGGGATCAGCTGAGAGTCAGCTGATGCGAGCTTGACTAACGTGACCTGCCAGAACTAACGCTACGCTTGACATTTGTTTAGAACAGTTATAGACTGTTTTTGCTTGTAAACAGTGCTTGATCTGTGCTTATTTCTCTCCTGAGTCAGATGAGATTACTTTTCCAGTCGAGAAAGCAATATTATGGGTACAGGACTTTTGGGTACATTTTAGCCAGAAGCAACAGTTTAAACTAAAAAAAAAAAAAAAGGTCTCAGTGATGGATTTGTTTCATAAAAACAAGCAGCTTTTTGCTTCACAAGAAATGAATTGATGGACTGGAGTGGTGTGGATTACTTTTTTGTAATGTTTTTATCAGCTGTTTAAACTCTCATTCTGATTCTCTTAACTGAACAACTAGTCATTAATGACGTTTAAACGCATATCAGCCTTCTGAGCAGAAACAAAACCGTGCATCTCTGAGTGGTGGTTTAGTCAACATTTCAAAACTCGGAAGCATCTCTATGGTTACCATTGTGTCAATCATCACAATTTCAGAAGTGACTTACGTTTCATACACCCATGGAATGAGCATTTATGGTATTCACTCTCACATTTAAATGTGGTTGTCATTCCTGAAAACTTAGTGTGTACGTGGCCCTTATTGTGTGAACAGGCGAATGCTTGTAAACATTTACATGCTAGTTGCATTATTCATCATCATAACACAAAAAAATGTCATGTGTTCAATACTGTGTAACATTGGTTTAATAATTGATGAAACAAAAAAAAAGCGTTTTCCACATACAATGGCAATGACATGTTCCCCATGGGCCAAAACGTGTCTATTCTACAAACTGGCACGCACTTGAGTGACAACTTTTGTGAGCAATCTCAAAATATCATTTAGATAAAGACTCTTTTCAGACGGCTTCTTCAAACAGTCAATATTGACGACAGCAGGTGTGTGGCTAGCTGTGAACTCGCAGGCTGTAATTGGCAGTCAGTCACAGATGAAAAATTGGATATGCCACTATCAGATCATGATCGCTATCTTTTAGAATAGAATAGAATATGCCTTTATTGTCATTGTATTTTTCTGTATACAACGAAATTAGGAGCACTACTCCTGACTGGTGTTAGAAAAACAAACATATAACCACAGACAATAAAGACTGTACAGTACAATTTTACAAGTAAATACAACAAGTGACTGAGTCCTGATATTCACATTGAGCAATCCGAGTAAAGTGACCATTTATAGTATTGCACATTGGCCTTCACCTTGATATGCACAGTAAGTTTATACAAAAGTACAATTTAAATGGAATGAGTAACTGTGGTGATTTAGTGACTAGAGATAGTATTTCACATTGACATATAGTGTATATTATTGCACATGTATTATTGCACCTTTACTGCAGATATAGTGTTCTTTTGTTTTGATGATGTTGTTTGTGTTCAGGATCAAAAGAATATTGTTTTGTTGACTGCGTGTGTGTGTGTGTGTGTGTGTGTGTGTTTGCATGTTGTTTGTGTCTACAGCTGCCAACACATTTCCCTATGTAAAGAAGCGCATCAAGGCAGTGGGAGATAAGCACTTGGAACTGAAGCCGATTGATGTAGCAATAGATGAGATGAAAGAGAGGAGCGCTGAACTCGTTAAGCTCTGCTCTAATCAGGAGGTTAACATGATCACACTTCAACTCAAACTCCAAGGCTGTGTTAGTGTGCAGGTACTAGTATGCATTACACACCCGGGACCTGTTAGCACACTGCTGTTCAAAACTGTGGGGTTTTTAAAGAAATGAATACTTTCATTCAAAAAGAAAGCATTGAACTGATTGATCAATAGTGACAGTAAAGAGATTTATATATTACAAAAGATTTCTATTTCAAATAAACGATCTTTTGAGCTTTTTACTCATCAAAGAATCCTGAAAAGATCATTGTTTCCACAAAATATTAAAGGGGTCATATGATGCAATTTCAATTTTTCCTTTCTCTTTGGAGTGTTACAAGCTCTTGGTGCATAAAGAAGATCTGTAAAGTTGCAAAGACTAAAGTCTCAAATCCAAAGAGATATTCTTTATAAAAGTTAAGAGTCAGCCACGCCTACCTAAAACGCCTCGTTCTAACACGCCCCCACATATCTACATCACGATGTGGAGATTTGCATAACGCCGCCCAAATGTTCACGCAAAGAAAGAAGGCGTAACTTTTATTCTCGCTGTAGTATTGTTGCCGCCGCCGCTTCTTTCTACTTTCTTCTTTTTATTTCATTACACCAAATAATGTTATTTTTAGCAGCGTCATATGACCCCTTTAAACAACTGTTTACAACTTTGATAAAAATAGAAGGTGTGTTTTGAGCAGCAAATCAGCATATTAAATTATTTATGATTTCTGAAGGATCGTGTGACACTGAAGACTGGAGTAATGATGCTGAAAATTCAGCTTTGTATCACAGGAATAAATTATACTTTAAAATATATTAACATAGCAACAGTTAATTGAAATTTGTAATATTATTTCACAGTATTACGGTTTTTACTGTATTTTTGATCAAATAACGCAATAAATGCATCAATATCATGAGATACAGAACAATGTTTAGTGACTCAAGCAAAGCCTAATTTAGGAATATCAAGATTTTTGTGTGACATTATTTTCATGACAGTTAACCACATTTCTCTTTACTATAATGCAAGAAATCTCATTCTCATAAATGTACTATGAAAAACTATTAATAATAATGATTTTATTATCTACAGTATGTTTCTAAATAAGGGTAGTATTTGTTATACTGCCTCAAGTTTAATCTGGTTTAATATAATGTGGGGGAAAAGCTGATTTAATTGAAAAAAAGCCCCATGGCATTACAATCAATTGACAATCAAATTGTAAAAAAGTTAATTTTAAAAACTCAAAAGTAACAGTATTACAGTTTTAAAAACCTGTAATGAAATGTTTATTTAAATATTTATATTTTAATTTAAACAGAATGAGCTGTTTTTACATTATGCCTCTACAATGAACAGGATATTTTGAAATGCTTTTTCTTCAGTCTTGACTCCAGTGAATTATAGACACACACATGTTGATTGACACAACGTCAATAAAGGCAATTACATGCAAGACAAATTTTCCCTCATGCAAAACTAAATTCCTGTTAACCTGTAATGAGACAAAAAAAAAATTGTTGCATTTTTGTTTTAATATGACCACATTTTGAGTGTATCAAAATATTCTTGTGCATTGTAAACACAGTCGCTGAGCAGTCTCCTGTTTTTACATTATGCCTCTACAATGAACAGGATATTTTGAAATGCTTTTTCTTCAGTCTTGACTCCAGTGAATTATAGACACACACATGTTGATTGACACAACGTCAATAAAGGCAATTACATGCAAGACAAATTTTCCCTCATGCAAAACAAAATTCCTGTTAACCTGTAATGAGACAAAAAAAATTGTTGCATTTTTGTTTTAATATGACCACATTTTGAGTGTATCAAAATATTCTTGTGCATTGTAAACACAGTCGCTGAGCAGTCTTTTCATTGATAATGATTTGCAGGCAATCACTTCATGCATCTTATACTGTTTTTGGGCTTCTAGGTGAACGCAGGACCGATGGCCTATGCCCGAGCTTTTCTGGATGAATCCAAATCTGGTCAATCCAGTAAAAAAGTTAAGGAGCTCAAGGAAATATTCAGGTATGTGGTGTTCAGGTATGCTGGTACTACTTCCGCAGTTTGTTGAACTTAGAAAGGGAACAGATACCTATGTGGCTACATAACTACAAAAGGCATGGTTTGGTAAAACAACAGTTACAAGGAACCTTGCCACACACATAGACACATGGTTTCTGAAGTAGGATACATATGTGAACAATCAATACAAATAATATCTGTAATTCTCTGATCAGTGAGCTTAATATTATTTTGGTTTGTTTTCTGTGAGATTTTCTACTTTTGCCTATCATAAAACACTATTGGCTCATCTGGTAAAGTCTTAAGTCATCTGATAAGCTTTCTTCATGAGAACTTAAAGGTCAAGAGAATAGTAATTCTACTAAAAATAGCTGAAAGGGGCCATGTTCAGGAAGCAATCAACTGCAGTCCCTGTTTATTCAACAGCATGTATCAACTTGCTATGCTGCAGGAATGTATTGGTTATCATACCAAGGCATCTTATTCTTGTAAATGGTATTTGTGTTTATAGCACTCGCAATGACATTTATATGACAGTTTTATTTTTTTTGTTTTTTAAATAAATACATGTGCATTTTCCACCCTATAAAATTGTCAACCTAAATCAAACAAATCTTTTGCATTTAACTACTTGCTACACATAACATGTTAGCATGTTAAAACTAATTATATGAACACACACACTGTAACAATATATACAGTGGTGTGAAAAAGTGTTGGCCCCCTTCCTGATTTCGTATTTTTTTGCATGTTTATCACACTTTAATGTTTCAGATCATCAAACAAATTTAAATATTAGTAAAAGATAACACAAGTGAACACAACATGCAGTTTTTAAATGAAGGTTTTTATTATTAAAGGAAAACAAAATCCAAAACTACATGGCCCTGTGTGAAAAAGTGTTTGCCCCCTAAACCTAATAACTGGTTGGGCCACCCTTAGCAGCAACAACTGCAATCAAGCGTTTGCGATAACTTGCAATGGGTCTGTTACAGCGCTGTGGAGGAATTTTGGTCCACTCATCTATGCAGAATTGTTGTAATTCAGCCACATTGGAGGGTTTTCGAGCATGAACCGCCTTTTTAAGGTCATGCCACAGCATCTCAATAGGATTCAGGTCAGGACTTTGACTAGGCCACTCCAAAGTCTTCATTTTGTTTTTCTTCAGCCATTCAGAGGTGGACTTGCTGGTGTGTTTTGGATCATTGTCCTGCTGCAGAACCCAAGTTCGCTTCAGCTTGAGGTCACGAACAGATGGCCGGACATTCTCCTTCAGGATGTTTTGGTAAACAGCAGAATTCATGATTCCATTTATCACAGCAAGTCTTCCAGGTCCTGAAGCAGCAAAACAGCCCCAGACAATCACACTACCACCACCATATTTTACT